TCCGCCGGGGCCGGGGCGGTGGGACGCGACGCTGCCTGCGGGGGTCTCCAGCGGCTTTGCCTCTGAGGGACAGCACGGCCACAGAAAGCAGCCCGGGTCCAGGGCACCCCTCGCGGCTTTCGGCCCCGACCCCCCTTTTGTTACCGAGCTTAATAAGGAGGAATGTGCCGCAGCGAGTGCAATTAATACATTATTTTCAGACTTGCTCGGAGCCGTCTAGACAGCTTCCTGACTGAGAGTGGTCCGTAGGACCCGGGTAGTGTTTTGGCCGCTGTTCCCCTAATGCAATTACATTTGTATGGTCTCCAAGTGGGGGGATGCAAATAAGGTTGTCTCGCACATCTGGCGGAAAGCACAAAGCTCGCTCCTATTTACGCCAGAAGCAGCTCACCAGACTTAAAATCTCGGAGGCAGAAGGGATGGTAAGAAGAATAAAATACCAGTTTATAACTGGAACTCTGTTGAACTGAAAGTAAGGGGATAATCTCCGGCCAAATTTACTCGGAGACAATAGGGCGGGATTCTGGCACTTGGAAGGAAAACCATGGGAAGCAGGAGGAGCCCTGCCTGAGGGGCTGTAGCATTTGTCCCATTTGTACCTTGAAGTTACCAAATCTTCCCCCATTCCCGTCCCCCCTGCAGTGTCTGCTAGAGTTAATGCTTGACTTAACGTAGGGTTTAGCTTTGCGAGAACTTTTTTGGAATATGTCGGGATTGACTTTGACAACATTAGCATCTCTGGTAGAGTGAAAGAACAGATACTTTTTAATATTTTCTTGTCTCAAAAAGTGCTGAATTACCACATTAAAAAGCATCACTTCAGAAGTTCACATGTACTTCTACTCCTGATCTGAGAGCTCCAGGTTAGCATTTGGGATGTCTGGCTACTTCTGAATCATAACATGGTATTGAAGAAATTGCAGGAAGGTGCCAAGTATTCTCTTAATAACGTGGGGTCTGGCTGTACTGAGCACTTTGCAGGATTGGGCCTTCTAGGAACCAGTTTTGGTGGGATAAGGACCAAGTCATGGCATGAGACAGGGGCTGTGGTGCCCGGGGGAGGAGAGGAGCCTGGAGCAGGCAGGAGGGAACTTCTTCCCTGGGATGCCCACTCTTGCCATGCTCTCTGCTGGAGAAGTCTCCAAGGGCTCATGGGGGGTGAAGCACTGGGCTTGGGAGGAGCTGCTGAAGCTGAAATGGAAAGCCTGTGTGGAGCAGATCTCCCAGCTCTCACATTCTTGGCTGATAAAGCCCTGCATTTGTCTCCATAAACCCGCTGAAGGAATGGTGTCTGTGTAGCTCCTGACAGTGACGAGTTGCTGGCATGCTGGGGCTGCCTTGCTGCAGTGCAGTGATCTCCTCTCCCTCCTCTGCTCCCTCCAGTCTGCCAAACTGTGAAGTGGTTTGGGCAGGAGCCCCCGCTTTTGCTTCAGTTCTGATTGGACCATCCACGGTTGGAAAGTGGTGGGTTTTGGCCCTCAGGCAATGCAAAAATAGCATTGTTTGTAGTAATAGTTGTGGTGGGGTTTTGTCCTGGTGCTGCTTTCCCAAGCAGCACATGCCAGACTTGCACCCAACTGGTTTTTTTAAGGACACACCTTGTAGTGTGTGCAAACTGGGTTTATGTGCATAGCTTGGGGTTGCAATCGAAGGTGAAGATTGAGGGTTAGGCAGGAGCTTGACAAACTGAATTCAGAGTAAAGTTAACCCTGTGCTGAAAGGGCTCTGCCACTAAATCACTGAAGCCGCCTTGACTGCACTGAGCCTCACTGGACATATCCTTAATGCATAGAACTTGTAATCGCCAAGCTAGCTCCCAAAAGCCAATGTTACCTCACAGAAGTTGTTGAAGGTGAAGTTTTGCATGTGTACATTTGTACAGAAGCAATGCAGTGGTTTTCTCTACATGCTGCCTTTGGTTCTAACTCTGCTGAAGAATACATCCACTGAAAGAGATTTCCTGAAATTGCCATTTCAATAGAAAACATGCTTCTCCTAAAAATAAAGCTTATGGAATTCCTGGCATATTTTCCATTTGACAATTTGCATTAATTCATAAAGGTAAATACACTTATCATTTCAACAAAAAAAAACCACCTTTGATGACTCCTGCAGGCAAAATGAGTGGAATGTGATATGGATGGAAAATGCTCTTATCTGCAGGAAACAACTATTGCCCCACGGATAAAATCAGTAATGCTGATTATTTTGTCGTTTCAGGAGGACAAAAAATGTTTCATATGCAACTCTGAGGATCCCTTCCATGATACTCTCAATCCTGACAGTCATCGCATTGAAAACGTCGTCACCACTTTTGATCCAAATCGCCTGAAGCTCTGGTGGCAGTCAGAAAATGGTACTGGCTTTGTCTGGGAGCCGTTGCTGGGCTGGGAGCTGCTTTCCCTCCTTTTGTTTCAGAGTACCTGTGGGTTTGCTGTTATCTTTGGCCTGGTGATTACTGCTGTGTGAAGGATCATGCTGTTCGAGGAGGGCTGAGTAAAGCTAGATGCTTTTGTGTGCCTTGGACCGATCCTTAATCCATGAGGAAAGCCCCGTCAGCCCTCGGGGAGTGTTGGGGAGTGTTGGAAAGAGCCGTCCCACCACTTTGAAAGGATCCTTTCCTAAAGAGAAAAGTTTCCCACACTGGCTCCAGATCTGCCTCATGTTTGGGCAGCGGGAGCAGAGCAGCCTTCCAGGAGTAACGATCCCGGGGCAGCGCTGCCAAGGAAGCACCGCAGGGCTTCCCCAGCCCGTGGCTGGAGGGAGCTGGGGAAGGGGGAGGTTTGGGTCCAGAGCTGGGGGCTGCAGGACCTCCCATATCCCTGTCCTTCCCCGGGAGGGCTGAGCCAGGGGTATCTCTTACCCTGTAAACTCCCTTCTCCCTCCTGGGCCCCCTGAATGCCTGTATCCATATGCCAAACAGTAAAATGAACATCAGAAACAAGCCAGCTAGTTTAAAAAACAAACAAACAAACAAACAAACATATTAGTTTGGTAGCTTTTTTTTTTTTCCCAATAATCCTTCCTCTGCTGTTTTGACTTCTACGGTTATGCTTTTGGCATGCCTTCATACACGGAATAAGTCATCAGGGTTTCTCAAACAGCAGTCCTACCCCGGAGCCTTAAAGCCAGCTGGATGGGATGGGATTTCTGCATATGCGTTGGCAGTAGCTGTTTTACTATATATGAAAATAAAACGGTAATATTTGTAACATTTCTGGTGCCCAGTGAAGAAGGGTTTTCACTAAATCATTTTTAACTGTTTAGATCAACCTAGTAAGCTCTTTGTCTCCAGCGGCTCTCTTCTAGCATTCAAAATAATTCATGTTTTTTGCAACAGGCTTGGCAGCATTCACACAGAAAAGTTCTTCGCTCATAAGGTCATGAAAATGTCCTTCAACAATAAAAAACAAATGATTCTTTCTGCCCAATTCATGTTTTCTTCTATTGGGGCATACAGCAGAAGGGACCATTGCTGCACACTCCACATAGTATTACAGCTAGTTGAAAATCTAAGTGCTGTGTTTGTCTATTATTTTAATTTCTTACCCTTTGTCTTCTGTGTAAGTTTTGATATATATATTTTTTATTTCTAACTACAGTATAGTTAGTATCTAGCTGTGTTAAGAAGTCTTTTCACATGACAAAATAATGTTTGTAACTGACTTTCTTCCATTCTGTGTAGAATCCTTGACCATAAGTAGTCTTAAAACAGAGTTTGAAAAACCTTTTACTTCTCACTGGTTCCCTAGCCCTCATGAATGGAAAGCAGAGCTGGGATAGCTTTTTAGGGGTATTTCAAAACTAGGTTGTAAAGGAATGTGTCCAGAGCAAGTGAAGAAAGGTGGGAAACAGCCCCCACTAGCCAGGTCTAGGCTGAGCATCCCCAGTTGTACCAGCCACTGGGTGCTGTGGTAGCAGGATCCAGCCCGTGGCTGTCCCCATCCTTACCCCATGTCTAGTGATGTCAGCCATGTTACGTGCTCTGAAATAACAGCAGTGTAGGCTCATGCTTTGGGTGAGAAATGTTTGGTACAGGTGGTGCACAGCAATCTCATGTGTGATGGATGCTTCAGCAGGTCCTTGGTGTCTCCCCTGTACCTCAGTAATGGACTAACCCTCATACCCCTTTTTGACAGCAGAGCCAAGTGGAAAAGAAAAGTCTCTGTGCTACTAGAGTGAAGGCCTTTGGCAAAATTTAGCTGTAGAGGTTGGCGGGTGTCCTTGTTTGCTGCATAGCTTCTTTTCTCTGCCCCTGCAGGTTTGGAAAATGTGACTATCCAGCTGAACCTGGAGGCTGAGTTTCACTTCACTCATCTCATTATGACCTTCAAGGTGAGGAAGCCACAGCCTTACCGTGAACCCTAAAACACAAGGAAATGAGAGGTGTCATAGTCCTTTACATCTATTTGATATTTGGGCTTTGTCTGAGCTGTTTTGCCTGATTGTTTTTAGAGCTGACAGCACTTACCTCCTGCTGGAGTTGCACAGGAAGGGTGAGTTGTGATTTATGGCTTGAGTGGTGTTTGAACTCCAGTGAGGCTGTTGAAGGAGTCATACTGAAGCTGGGTTTTGTGTTGGTGTCCCTTTCTGGTTGTCATGTTCTAGAAGGTAGTTAGCTAATATAGTGGCATGGATTTTTCTTTAAAAAAAATTGGCCACGATAGCAGTGTTCATTTGGCAAATGGAAAGGTCTTCAGGAAGAAGGAACATCTGTACACAAAGTGTCTTTGTTTCTTTACAAACAGATGTCTTGGAATGGCAGATTATGTCACATACATCCTAAATTGCAGGCCCGTGCTAGTGGCAACCTTCAGCTGAGGCTTCAGGGACTGCAGTTCCTGAAGGGCTAAATTTCTGCTCTTCACACAGAGACAAATTAATCTCTTCCATTTTTACCCATCAGCTTTCTAAAAGAGCTGGTTCCTCTTTCCTGTGGTGTTGACTCGGGTTTGCCCCCGGCCTCAAGGTGGTGGCTCAGGTGGAAGGTGGTCCTTTCTGCTGGACCCCACCAGTGAGGGACCCTCCAGAAATCCCTGACCCAATGCAGGTGCTGCAGCCATCATGCCCTAGTGCCACTAGGCTTGGTCTGCCTTCAGGAGGAAGACTGTGGGGGAAGGATTGTTTTAATGATGATTTGTTGACTTTGTTTGTGTGGTAGACACTTGAACTGCCTTATCTCTGGGTTGTTACATTTTTTTGTTGAGTGAGGTACCAGTTTGTAAGTTGGGTGATACTTTCAGCCAGGAAGCAGAAAGAAAAATTCTTTCCAGCTGTGACTGAAATGCTTTTGTGCAAGTCTCTGGGAGAGCCTCCTCTGAATACATAAAACTAATGTGGGCATTTCTTGGTAGGTGCAAGCAGGTGTTAAATTAATATCTGCTTCTGGAATGGCAGCACTTAAATTGAACCATGGGATTTTTAGGCCAGAGGGATTAAAAGTTTTTAAAAAAATCTCATTAGCTAGTTTTTCTAGAGTTGAATACATGTAGGTAAGAAGGATGGTGCTTTGTGTGAAGAGAATGCAGCCTGCCAGAGTCTGGGCAAGGCCAGCTGGAGGAGGATCACTGGGGACTGGGGGAGGTGAATGCAGCAAGAATAGATAAAGCTGAACCTCTCAGTCTCCTTAAAGAGGGTTTTCTTAATGCAGCACAGAGGACAGCTGACACTGGACAGCAAAAGGTAGTGTGGTCAGATGAAGAGAGATAGCTGGACTTTTCTGAGCATCAGAGAAAACTGCTCAGCAAGAACTTCAGTGTGTCAGAGCTGAAGGGGAAGAACTGGAAGTGGCCTCCTGGTCCCCAGGGACCATTAGGTTCTTTGCAGAAGATGAAGCAAGGAGGTACAGCAAGGAGGAATACTGTGCTGCTTTCTACAAGCAGTGGAAAAAATCCTTTTGTCTCCCTAAAGCCCTGCTCAGTTTTGAGAAAGGATTTGGAATAAAAAAAAACTTGCAAGTTTGCTTATTTATTGTAAGCATGTTTAGTGCTTGGCCAGTGAGTGCTGTCTTTTTAAAGGTGGGTAGCCTGTGGTTTGGTGTGTTATTTCAGAGATCCAGCTCTGAGCAGGAAGTGACAAATCAGCAGAAAAATATCTCCAAATATGGGAAGTAGTGCAGGGAGAGAGATTAAGATCCAGACATGTGGACTGCTCACACTTCGAAAGTGCTCGATGTCAATGCAAGTAATAATGGAATAAAATATCTTTTGGTTTTCTTACTATTAGACATTCCGTCCTGCTGCAATGTTGATAGAAAGATCATCTGATTTTGGAAAAACATGGCAAGTATATAGGTATTTTGCTTATGACTGTGAGAGCTCATTTCCTGGGATTTCAACTGGACCCATGAAGAAGGTGGATGATATAATTTGTGATTCCCGATACTCCGACATTGAACCTTCAACCGAGGGAGAGGTCAGAGGGCTTTTTTCCAACATGTTTATTGTATTGACTTTTTCCATACAAATATAGATTCTTTTATTTTTAAAGCTGAATCTTTTGTTGTACCATTTTTCCTCCAGGTAATATATCGTGTTTTAGATCCTGCTTTTCGAATTGAAGATCCGTACAGTCCAAGGATTCAAAGTATGTATGCAGTTACCTTCCAGGCTTATTTTAAAGCATTTCTATACTTAATTGCTTACAAAAACCAGTAAGCCGCAAATAAAGCCAATCATTAGCCCTAATAACATTTTTGAAGTCCTAAGAATACATTTATGGTATGGCTTCTTATCCTGACTTGGACAGTGATGTGCATTTGTGTGTGGTCATGACAATCCAGGAATGCGGAGGTAGAGAGATCTGTTGCTGAGTGTGGCTTAAAAGAAAAACCACGTGGGGCATTTGGCCTGAGTAGGGAACAGCAGCACTTGGCCTTAAACTTAACTTCCAATTTAATACGCATTCTCAGTTTCTGTTCATGTCCTTCAGTCTAAAGGTAACGGGAGCAGAATAAAATATCTGAACTAGAAGAGTGTCTGTTAGTTGCTCTGTCAGTTGAATGGTCTTTTTTAAAACCAACGTTTTAAAGGTTGATTTAAAATGTTCTGCTTTCATGGGCTTGAAGTGCTTTTTCAAGCCTAATTTCAAGGCTACAAGAAAGGATTAATAATATTACACAGGATTCATAATAAAAAAGTGAACATGTAGGCTGAATTAGTTAGTGCAATATTGTCTTCCTGTGGATTATCCCTCGAGAACTTTGTATTGGGTCAGGGATGGGGCGTTGCTTCTTTCAGCAAAATGTAACTAATTATATTTGCTGGGAAAATTTGGCGTATAAGAATTATTTGTGTCTTGTTTCCAACTAAGATTTTTTCAAAAAAGGCTTGTAACTTTAAAGAGCTCCTGGTCTATTCATCAGCAGTTCCTTAATACGAGGTCCTTGCCTGACTTAAATTTAAAGCCCCAAAGAATCAGTGTCTTTTTGGTGATACTGTTGTGTGTGCCTTTAATATTTGTGTTTGTGCCTGTGTATGCCTACAATAAAAAAAGACCAGCATTTTAAATTAAGCTCAGAATACTTATACAATGATCAAACTGTAGTAAAATAATGTTTTGGATTTTTTTAATTTGTATGAAGTGATGTATATATAGCACGTAAGTGCTGAAATTGAATCTGATCTAATCTGCCCATAGGAAGTGTGCTTGAGAAGTCACTCTTGGCTTCCTCCCATTCAATAACAGTATCTGGTAAAGAATTCCAAAGTGGGGTTTGTTCAGGCTTTGTGTGTGTGTCTGTCTTCTGCAGACCTATTAAAGATCACAAATCTGAGGGTCAAATTCGTCAAGCTGCACACGCTGGGAGATAATCTGTTGGACTCCAGGATGGAGATCAGAGAGAAGTACTACTATGCCATCTACGACATGGTGGTTCGCGGGAACTGTTTCTGCTACGGACACGCCAGCGAGTGTGCACCAGTGGATGGCTTTGATGAAGAGGTGGAAGGAATGGTAACTATTCACAATTTTCTACAAAAAGCTGTTCCTGCCTGTGCCTCTTTTAAGTGGTTTAAACGTAAATTTAAAGATGACACACTGTCCCCCTTAATTTTCGAACAAAAAAAACGTTGAAACTATTCCTCCTCAGCTAACACATCTGTCATTATTGGTGTTAATCAAGCACAGAAAGCTCAGATTAGGTGAAAATTGTTTTAGCATTCCTTTTCTAATTATGCTAAAGAGCTGGTGAAATTAAAAGACAGGAATGCAGAAAGGGAGAGTAACCCTATGGGGCCAGAGAGGGGTGTGTGGGTTGACTTGATTACCCTAAAACTGAAGGGAATAGAGGCATCAAAGGATGAAACACCTCTGAGAACCAAAGGAGACCTGCCTTTGTATTGGTCGTTATCAGCTGGGAAGTGGAGGGTAGCCCTAATTAACAGCAGTCTGAAGGAAAATCCTGTTGACTGTGTTGTATGCAGCTGAGTGCCACATCGTTTCTGTGTTCTGGTTTTGCCTACAATTTTTGCCTTACAAGCAGTAATATCACCGCTGTTAATGAGTGAGTTATTAACTGGATGAAAATGTGGAGGTTGTGTGGATTGTCCCAAGGGCCTCAGGATGCTGGTGAGTGGGTATGCTCCGTTGCCTTGTAATTTGAGTGAGTCTCTACCCAAGCAACAGCAAGACTGGCTTTACCTTTAAAATCATGGCTCCAGAGCTGGTAGTCCCTATCGTCTAGGGCAGCAGCTGCCACACAGTTACTCTTGGTCTACTTAGTGCTTGCTCTATACTTGATGAAGGCAAAGTCTGGGTTTATGGATGAAACCCATCCAAACTGCCTGTTATCTTTGCTTTGCAAGCTAAGGTAGGGCTGGAAAGAAGGCACCTGGCTAGTGACCAGCTGATGCATGTTAATAGCCAATTAACAGCTAATAAACAGCTAACTTTTAGGTCTAAGAGGCTTTTGTGATTATTGAGGTGGAACTGTGCACTCCTTGTTCATGCCTGAAAGCATGAGTTCTGGTAAGGAAAGAAGGACAAATTTGTATGCAGACATTCTTACCTCGGCAGGTAAAGGACACTCTTGTGGGCCTGTACTTCTCCCTTATGTACAGTTACATGCATTAAAGCCTCCAAAAGTACATCCATTATGTAACTAGCTATATTTTGCATTAATTGGAGCATTTTTATTCCTTTTCCCCTTTTATAATCAGATTTTTTTTTTTTTTTTTTTTTTTTTACTGACAGGTCCATGGGCACTGCATGTGCAGGCATAATACCAAAGGGTTAAACTGTGAACAGTGTTTGGATTTCTACCATGACTTACCCTGGCGACCTGCTGAAGGCCGCAATAGTAACGCATGCAAAAGTGAGTTTGAGTGAAGTGCAGAACTGGAGTTTGGTGTGAGCATTGCATGCTGTTACCTGGGAGCTTGCGGCAATATATGAAGTCCTGCATGTTCTTTGGTTGCGTTTGGTGTGTCTTTTCTGCAGACTTGCGTCTCCCCTGGGATCGGACTCTTACTTTGCTTTCTGTCTTTGTCACAGAGTGCAACTGCAACGGGCACTCCAGCCAGTGCCACTTTGACATGGCTGTGTACATGACGACGGGGAATGCCAGCGGGGGCGTGTGTGATGACTGCCAGCACAACACCGTAGGGCGCAACTGCGAGCAGTGCAAGCCCTTCTACTTCCAGCACCCAGAGAGAGACCTGCGGGACCCTGACGTCTGTGAGCGTAAGTGCGGCCCTGCTCCTCGGTGTGGGAATGGTCATGGGATCCCCACCGTGGCCCCCCAGCGCTTTCCCTGCAGAATTTAGGAATTGCTGGCCTTCTTTCAGCCAGTGCTGTGATCCTTGAGGGAATGTGATTGTCTTGGAGGTCTTGAGCAAGCCTGGTTGGGTTTCGTTTTCTGTTCAAGAATCTGGAAATTTATCTGGTTATTATTTGTTCAACCCATGTCATACCTAATACTTGCAGGAATGATACACTGTCTACACAGCAGCTGAGTTTAAGTAATTCAGTGTGAGACTTTGCCTTTTCTTTTGTAGCAGTTAATAAAACGCCATGCTTCCTTCTTAGCTTGCAACTGTGACCCAGCTGGCTCCCAGAACGGTGGCATCTGCGATCGCTACACCGATTTCTCCACCGGCCTCATTGCTGGACAATGCCGTTGTAAATTATTTGTCGAGGGGGAGCGTTGTGACCTCTGCAAAGAAGGTTTCTATGGCCTGAGTGCCGATGACCCAGCAGGCTGTCAGTGTGAGTAAAAACATACATTCCTTTATGGGTGATCAAAAGCTCTTTGAGGAGCTGCTAGAGCCTGGAGAAGTTGTTTTATGGGGTTTTTGTTTTTTCGTTTTTTTTTTTTAACTTTGTTTCATTTTTTTGCTAAAGAAAAAAACATTCTTGTGAATTTGCCATAGCTCGGAGTCCACCCACCCTTAAAACTAATTTCCCTGGCTGATCCTTCTAGTGTATTAGGTGGAAATAGTAGAGTCCTCCTTATTTGTTTTTAATTATAAGTCTATAAGCCAGGGAAGTTTTACTGGGATGAGTGGTGGGCAAAGTGTGCCATTAATCTCTGCCCTGGGGAATTTAGGGGCAGCTTTAATGTAAATATTTCTGTTGCATACTGTCTAAAATGTAACTTGGATCCTGTGTTTTGACCTGCCTGTTTGTATTTCCCAAACTAGCTTGTGCATGTAATCCTCTGGGCACCCACCCTGGGGGGAATCCTTGTGATTCAGAGACAGGAAACTGCTATTGTAAGCGCCTGGTGACAGGAAAGCAGTGCAGTCACGGCCTGGTAAGTAGCTTACTGTAAAATAAATCAGGAGATGCTGGTGTGAGGGGGGCTGGCTTGCAGAAAGTGTGGAGCAAGGGCCTGGCCACCGTCTGTGGCTGCCTATGAGTGAGTGCCTGGTGTTGAGGCTGGAGCAGGCACCTCAGGATGTCGGGAGCCATGAAGCAGGCAAAGACATCCGGATTAATTCCTGGGACTGTAAGGAGTGAGACATTTGGATACCTGTGTGAAATTGAGGGATCTGGGGCAGTTCTGCTGGAGCCCTGACTGGAGTGGAAGACAAAATAGTCAGAGAAGTGGTGTTGCTGAAAAATTGCTTTCTATACAGGCCATTATTTTGGGCAGAGATTATTTCATGTCCATACGTTTCCATATAGTGTTTATGCATGCTGGAGTGTTACAGAAACATACTGTCAGATAACTGGATGTGTTTGTATAAACACTGACAGACTGTCTTATCTAACAGTGAGCTACATGGGAAAGCTGAATAAGTCTGCCTGTCCAACAAACAAGTTTCAGATTAGCTAGCCCTATAAGGGCAGTGCCCTGCTCAAAGCTCCATCACCCCACGTGCAGCTCTGCTGCACTGTGACAGACTAGGATTTTTCAAGACCTTCACGGATCAGGAGCCCAAACTGGTGTAAATGGTACAGTGGGAGTGAGGTCTCTGATCTTGGGTCTTCCTGAATCTTGTTTTTAAAGCTAGAAAGGAAGATTTTTTTTTTTTTTTTCTCAAGCCATTCAGATGTTTAACAAGGCAGAGGAGAGCAGGTGGAGAGACTGTGAGGGGAGCTGGATCCATGGACTGTGGGGCAGTCTGAGGTAGCTTATGCTGAGCATTTGAAAATGTGCCTTTGGGGGAGATGGGTCTAGATCAGCACGGGTTTACAGCACTGGTGGTATTTCGTCCTGCAGCCTGAGCACTGGGGCCTGAGCAACGACATGGATGGATGTCGGCCGTGTGACTGTGACCAGGGAGGAGCACTGAACAACAAGTGAGTCACAGCCTCCTTAACTCTCCCATAATCATTCACCCCAGTGAGTTTTGCTTCGTTTGCAACCACAACCTTCAGGGCTCAATGTGCTCTGGAGGAGGGTGTTTGAAGCTGTCTTTCTGCTGCAGAAGGTGGCAGGTCTTGATTGCTGTGAGGGGTGACAGAGGCTTTTTTGCCTTTTCTGTTCCAAGCACCCTCTGTTAGTGCCACAGGTGCAGATGAACACGTAAAACTTTTATTGTTGCTTTGCCTTTGTTATCCAGGATAGGAGCCAGCCATGGATTGAACTCTGCCTTGGCTGTAACCCGGGGTATGGCCGGTGTCAAAGCAGGAATCAGGTGGTGACACGGGCTGTCAGTCTGGCTCTTGCTTTGCTCCCAAATTGGCCCTTTGGCCAGCCAGTCTGTCCACCAGCACTGCAGGAAGCACACCAGCTCCATGGTACTTGCTACCGTGTTGCTCCAGTGGTGCTGTGTGGGGTGGGATGTGAACCTGGAAATACCCATTGTGGAGGTGATTATTTTAGAAAAAAGCGTAGATTTTGAAGATGCATCCATCAGTAAGAGCATGGAATGTCCTGGTTTAAATCCCTGGTCAGAGGTGTGCTAGGTAGCCAGACTGCTTCTCTGGCCAGAGCATTTTTCCATATGTTAGGTGCATGTCCAACCTCAGGCTTCTCAACATCAGCTTGTTCTTTTTATCTTTTTTTTTTTTTCCTTCCCTTCACTCCACTCCACCCCCGCCTTCCCTCCACAAACCCTTTGAAATGTCCTGCTTTTGTCTAAAGCCACAACAGTTTCCCAAAGGGGGTTGAACAAACTGTTTCCTACCCGAGCCCACGAGACCACACTGGGGGAGTTTGAGACCGGTCCTGGCGTGACGCCTGTAGGTCGTTCACAGCCTGTGGACACCTCATCCGCAGTGGGGATCGCCGTGGGAATGTCCTGCAGGCCATCTCTGCCCTCTGCTGCTGAAAGGGTTCTGTTGCCCCCTGGCAGCCAGCGGGGCGGTCAGTGGTTATTTGCTCCCCCGTGCTCGCTCCTTGCGCACAGACGGGTTATGCCGCTCGGCTGCGGCCCGGGCCCTGGGG